ATAGATGTATATATATATATAAAATTTTGTACAATGAGTCGTGTTGACAGAAAGAAAAAAAAAACAAAATCCCCTTGGTCTATGTTTATACAACAGATTGTTAGAAAAACAATTTATAAGTGACAATTTGTGAGAAGTGTTAAGAATATCGCCCATTAGATTTGCCGTGTGGTCCTAAAGCTACAGCCTACCGCCTAAGCAAGCCCGTTCTCTGTGTTAGTCGTTGTGTCGGGAAAGACAAAATATTTCTTCCCTCTAAATGCCGCTAGGGGAAAAGGAAATCAGCATCAAACTGACAAAGACTAACGTACCTTCAATTGTGAACGTCTCAATGCGGAGAGAGTACTGTACGTTAAAGCGAAGAAATATTTTAACCGTGCCTCAAGGACTAAGGATAAATCAATGTTACACAAGTAATATTCGACAGTTGTAACGTGAATTAGCATCAAATCGATTAAAACGTCTCGCGACGTGATTCTACGCATGTAACATTAATTCGGTGTGCTTTAAACAATGTTAGTAATACGTACACTGCTGATCTAAAAGAGTGCAGAGTGGAGGAACCATAATACGCGTTACCACTGTAAGTCACCAGATATTTCATTTAAACCACATATATGAATCCTGTATGGCCATAAAAAATATTGTATCAACAGAAGTAATGGTAATGTAATTGTCACCAAATACCACAGGCAGAGAACAACCAACAGAGCAAGACAAAGATAAAGGTGTGTAAAAGGAGTGCCGAGCAATAGATTGGTCATTTGAAATCGCACGGAAATTGATTCTTAATTAACGGACAGTAGATTCTCTTTCAAACTTCAACCCCTTAAGGCTCGGTTTCGAATATCATGTTCTTTTTAATGTTTCGTCTGGATCCTTAAGGGATTAATTAATTAGCTACGAGAAGTTTGTACTAATCAGTTTCGGTTAAGTATCAGGAATCATTCTAATATTTTAATTCGTGTACTAAGAAGACCACCGATTAGATACTATCGCGAACAATATAAATTTTGAATACTTTATAGACTCTGAACTGAGATCTATTCGCTGTAATAGACTCTGACACAATTTGCACTAACGTATGGAAAAAATTTGAAAAATAAAAAAAAAATGTTACAAAAAGCTGTAGCAATTTTCTAATAACATACCCTCACCTCGATCAATTTCAACTAACTACTAAGGAAAGCAACATTTTGAAAGACTCTTTGTATCGTGTGTATAAGAGTACCATGTAACCGATTATCTAAATGAATACTTCAAAATACAAGTAATGGATATGGCAAGGGTACAGGTAATCACAATGTAAGCAGTTACATTTAGATCCTCTGAGAGGGTTCCTGGAGATGCTGGGAGGTGGAACAGCAGGAGGCAGGTTGTTCCCCTGAGGAGTTGCAGGTGCCGAACCAGACCCTGCTTGCTTCTGTTTGTCTGAAACAACACTCATTGCTCATATCTTTGAATAATCTGTGCCTTCAAATGGCCCTTTTTTCTTCATCTTGCTATTTTAAATCATTACTTATATCTATTGCATTTTAATTACAGTTCGCACTTTCAGTGGCATAAATGTATTCCAGAGGACGATTGTTTTTTTGAAATATTGATTTCTGTACGATAGAAAGTTTAAAATGTTTAAGCAAGCCACAGACGGACGTAACATATCCGTCTATAGCCATGACTTTAACGTTTGTCCTTTAGATTAAGGAGTCTCTTGGAATACATTTCAATTTATAATGTCATCCTCCACCTATTGTTAGATTATAATGCGCAAGCATTGTAACACAACCACATAAGCAATAAGTCAATAAAATTGTTCCGCATTTGCGTAGATTAATAAATCTGTGATCGAGTGACAAAAAAACAAGTTAAAGGAGTGTACACGTGTGAAGAGTAAATGATACTGCTGTGATAAATAAACATTGCAAAACGTATCCACCAGAACATAATGTATTCAGTCTGAGGTTCACACTTTCATTATTATATTCTGAGTTATTCCAATTTTAAATCGATTACGAATATACGAAACTTTCGTGTCGATAATACCAGTCATCTATGCATTATGTTAAGGTGGATAAAGACTATTGCAATTAAAAGAGAATAAAATCTTGTAAATTCTGTTCAATTTTAAAAAGAAAACCTACCCTGGGAGTTGGACATGAACAGGTTGAGTAGCGAGGTAGTACGGCGGGAAGCCTTGGTGGCTTGTGCATGTGACAGTTCTCTATCCCTTTCATTCAGTCTTTCATTTTCTTTTTCTTGTACCCTCCCCTTTTCCTCATCCACCTGATTACCCCCCCCTTTTAATCCCTGATCTTTTTTTGAACTGTGAGTGTTACCAGCGACTCCTGTTTCTCCATTAGCTCCTTTCGATGTTTCCTTAGGTGTCTCAACATTGCCATCTGATTGAGAATGAGTGGTCATATCTCCTAAATTTGTCATGACTTCTTCATATTCGATTATATCTAATTTACAAAGAGATTATGTAAATAATGGTACACTTCTATTTCCGTGTTACAAAATGTGTTACCTGGCTTCTCGAAACCTGTGTATTTGCTTTGAACAAATTGCTCTAGTAACTTATCCACTGTCATATCTAGACACTGACGCTTAAAGTCAATGTGGACTTGGCCAACTTGTTCGTGATTCGTTTGTAAGACATCCGCATAGATATTTAAAAACTCCTTCATATGTTTTAGGTGTGTTTCTTCTACATCCTGGAATCTCTTATGAACGAAAATAAAATGTTTCATTAGTATTACATTCAGGTGATTTCTTAAAACATTGGGCAAAGCAATAATTAAGTTGATACCCTGCAAGCTTGAGTCATTTTGGTCTGAAAATCGTTCCTTATAACCATGTATTTGTCCACCAAAGTTTTATAATCATCCTGTGCTTTTTTGAATTTCATCTCTGCTTTTTCTAACTCTTTCTGACTGGCATTATCTTTCTTCAACTTCTCCAATTCAAGACCCTTTTGCATACGCATGTCTTTTGCCTTTTGTAAGGTCACTGTAATACTTTGTATACTTTGCACAACTTCCAAAGTGGATGACTCTTCCTCCTTTACCTAGATATTATTCAATTTTTTAATACCAATTATTAGTTGAAAATTGGAAAATGTTATAAAATGACATGCTAATTAAGTAAATACATGTTTTAAATAATTTCTTATTGGACTGATTTGATAACTCATTATCTTTATATCTTAACAGACACTACTGTCTGAGAGAACTAGTAACCCAACTGTGGGCGGATACTGATAAGGTATGAAATATACAATGTGATTCATAATACAATACGATAAACATTAGGAAAAACTGTGATAAATAAAAATAACATTTATATCTTCGGATGCTATATGAAGCACAAAAATTCCATTTGTATCAATAATGTTTTAATTTTTAAGAATAACAAAGATTCTGTTACATACTGCCTTGTGTTTTTTGTGCAGTTCATCTGCATATTTTGATACATCTTTTATCAATTCAGTGACCTTCTGGGCCATCTGCAAGTGCAAGCTTGCAAGTTTTTCAGCTGCACCCCTCAGAGCAGCCCATACAGGTGCAAATGTTCCTTGAGTACTACTGGTATTGCCAACTTGCTTGGCCACCTTACTCAGAAGTTTATAATTGTTTTCTTCTATGGCTGATCGTTCTTTTAAAAAATCAGCCAACTCCTTACTTGCAACTACACCATGCTTCATGTTATGATATAACACGTCAAATCCATTATTCTTTTCGCCCTTGAATCATAAAAAAAAATATGAAGATTTAGACAAGCAATTTGATTTAATTGTCAGAAGAGAAATACGTATGCTAGAAAGAAAGAAATTCCATTAGCAATTAATATATACCAACTGAAAGAGATATACTAAAAGTATACTTAAGACCACTTAGCCACTTAACACTTGAACTCTGATCATGCTATAAACTCATGTAGAACAGAACTCTTGAGTGTCATTGTCGCAATAAGCTGTCATTATACTCTTTTATCACTCTTGTCATCCTATTGTATATATTACTTGCAACGGATGACCTATTGCTTAATTTTTACCATGAACATTGCAAATAAACAACATTAAATATATTTTGAATAACAACAATCTTTCAACAAAGAAATACAAAAAGAATAACAGTATTTAATATTTCAAAAACTACTGTCTGAAATACGATTCCATATTTTTTAAAATATCAACACTACATCCTGTGTTTAGTAATCTGCAATAATTAGGAAAACCAAGGGATCCAGAAGGAAGTAACATATCTTATCTACATGGAGCATTTGCCGGAGGGACCAATGTCAGACTTTTAAAAAGTTCTGAAATCAACTGAAATCATCATGACCAGAATAAACGTGAAACTTCTACATCAAAAAATATTGTTTCAATTAGTTACAGACAAAACAATAATAATTATTATTTCAGTGATAACATTCAACGGCGATATTCAAAATTCAATTTAAATTTCAACCTCAATTCAATTGGAAAAAATACAAATAAATCGACGGTGGAGTAATTGATTAATAAAGATGTTCCCAGACATCGTTCACAGAGTCAACAGTTCCACTCCCTTCTACGCTTGGGCTCTAAACGCATACATGTCAACGTGCGATCAAGAACGCGTTCCTCATTGCTTTTCTACGGTGGCTCGTGAAGAGACGACACAGGAACGAGATGACAGGGAGAGGTGAACGCGTAACCTTGCATTCGCAAGAGGAACGAAGAGGAGGCAAGCATGCCGCGTAACTCGGAGAAAAAGAGACGACCAGAAAACGACCATGATAAGGCGCAGGAAAGAGAGGGAGATAGATATATAGAGAAAAGAAAAAGGCTTTCATTAAAGGGAATGCGTCTATTTTACGCGAGAAAGAGAATGTTGCCGCGGCGTGACGTGTAGGGACATTGACGAGAGATTGTTCAGGTGTCGGGTACGCTCGAGGAGGGACGAAAAGGAAAGGATGTTCGTACCCGTACATAACCTAAATCGGACGAGGATGACATTCTAGGATACTAGCTGATCGAGACACTCACCCAAAAGTAGTCGGCGAAATCCACAGTCATGTTGGAACCGCGATCAGACCATCATAATTTATCTTCTGGTGTATCAGGCCGCACTGCACCGTTAATAACGAACCATTGACACACACATATATATATATTTATATATATATATATATATATAGATAGATGCACACACACGGTACTATACACGACGCAACCGTTCGAACCGTACGACGAGACGTAACTCAATTTACGACGGACCCACCAACGTAACGTTTTCGTGCTTGGACGTTCCGAGCAGAACGAGCGCGCTCGACCGCGGAGACAGGGGTCAACTTATTTCAACTATCTCCGTCGTTCGCAGTTTTCTCTTCCTCCTCTCTTTTCACGTATGTAACTACCTTATCCAACAAGCAGAGGCGCGCGCGTCGCGTTCGATTTAAATTTCGCATTGCAATGCTTATTATTTTCTTCCTCCTGTTTTTATTTCCACATTTCTAGATTAATTACGATTACCGAATGCTTCTTTATTTTCCAGACTACTCTAGATCTAATTATTAATAGAATATCAAAGGGTTAATATTATTTAAAATCAAGTTGTATGTTGTTGACATTTTTATTATCATATACATATTCTATACGTAATTATTAAATCATATTTGAAAAGAACTAGAGGTACATGATTAATATTTACTTACAAATATTTTGCAATCTTAATTAGACTTTGTTACCGATTCAGGAATCACGACTGATTGTAGCGACCTCTTCTTCTTATCGACAAAGTCAATGACAGATTTTCAGGTCGATAAGGTCCTCGGATCCAGATCGGTAAAACAGTGCCTTGACCTTTTACGACAGTCTATAAAGTGTACAGTCTATTCCCATTTCTTTTTATGTTACGACATTTCAGACTGCTTTTTTGGATTGAAACCAGAAGGTGCATTGCAGGAATTCTCGTGATAATTATACGATAATAAAATCTATTCTTCTCACTATTCGTTCCTTGCGTCATTTACATCTTCACATTAATGTTACAGTATGCAGTTTGCGCTAACACATTACGCAACCAGTCAAACACTTGACCTGCTCAGAACCGATCGTTCGCATTCGGTACCGCGACCGGAACTGCATCCTATGCTCACATTGCTAAACAGATAACCTTTCCACTTTTGATTAATGCACGTTCGCCGTTGCAGCATAGTTAAGCGATTTACCACATTCGGACAGCGGCGCTACTAGGAACTCAGGGCCGAGATGCAGTTTTTTTTACACAGTGTTTCAGAAACATCCCCTACTTTTTTTGTATCATTTCGCGTATCACTCATTCAAACGAAGTAGTATGAATCCGTATTTAAGGAGACTACAAATGCAATATCGAAGACATTTTCAAGAGACAGAACCAATGCAATTTTAAATTTATCGTTTAATAAAAATGTAATGCCAAAGAATGTGATATACTGTACAGATATTGTTCGCAAAAAAGAACAACTGTACATTAGATCCACGGGAATTGTGCCTGAAAAAATGGAACAATCGTTGAACAAGGGTGAGAAAAAAAAACGAGCGGAAGAGGTGCGCTCGGAAAATTCGAAAGCGGCGGCAGTGACTATGAGAAAGGTCGAAAGACGGGAGGCGTGGCCTCGAATAATCAGCTCAGGGTAGTCCAGTGTCCTTGCGCATATCCAGTGGCTATACGTTACACATGTACGGCAGCTCACGTGTGTATCGTATATACGTAGAAGAGAAGAAGTTTCGAGCGTTATCAATCACTCTCGTCGCTGGACCGAAAGGTGCATCCGAGTCTCGGCGTGTCGTCGACAGGTAGAACAAGCCAGTCTCTCCGTGGATCGAGGGATCACGGCGATGCCCGCGAACAAAGGGAACCTGTCGTCGCCTCACAAAGAAAAGCCTGGAAACGGTTTGACGAACGCTGCCTCCAAGAAGAAGAAACGCTGCACCGTAAAGCATAAAAAACATTGCAAGCAATATCTGGTGAGTGAGCCGAAACGAAACGTTAATTCCTTGCAAGCGAACGGCCATGTTGCGATCGAGTCGAGTCCAGTCGAGCGCGATACAGAGAAGCGTCGTTTGCGTTCCTCGCGTGCACACGTACGAATAGAAATCCGGGTAGCCGCGAATAAATCGCCGACGAAACGGATGAAACCTACGACTTGATCGAGCAACGTTTTCCATCCTGTTTACATTCGGTTTGCTCGGGTGTTCGACGGTCGGGAAAGCTAGCGCGATTCGATCAGTTGTGCGATAGACGCGGTGTTGTAGGTTATGTGTCGCAGAACGCCTCGAGTCGAGACACGATAGGGTTTGTTCACCTTTACCGATGCATGGTCGAAGTGTTACGGGTTGCAACGATCGATCCGGTGCAAGCATGCCTCGGTGCCGGTTACGATGCAGTTTTGCATTTCGAAGTTCCTCTCGTGATTTAAGGCGCCGCGTCGAAACCGCCAGAGTCATTTCCATAACATTCTGGCATGATTCGGCCATTTCCGCGCGGACAGCTCGATTTTTCTCTTTCAACGCGATTAATTATTCATTCGACGGTATTACTTTTGCCGCGTACCGCCTATCTCGTACCGATTCGCGTTTCCGGGAAACGATCGGTCTTTTACCGACGTACACGATTTACCTTATCCACCGAATCACTGTTTTCATTAATATTTCTCTTGTTCTCTCTTTTTTCCTGTTTCTTATTTTTCTTCGCCTTCCTGTTCGCGATGACGTATACGTCGAATTTCTTTTCCGACGTTCCTATCGATTTTTCGTTTTCTTTTTCCTTCGCTGCCGGGTGCGTTGAACTCTACGGTTAAAATAGTCCATTATCCCCTGTAAAGCGCGAATCGATACGAGATAAAATTCCCTGGATTGGAAAGTTTCTGCGGACTTCGAATCACGAGGGACTTCATGCGACGGTTTCTATTAACCTGCCAACCGAAGAGGACCGTGTTCTATCGGTGTTTGCACCCAACCGCATCTTTTTACCGCATTCCATTCTTGTTTACTTATAAACAAATTTTCCATTCTTATTCTATCTTTGTAATATTTGTAACGATATAAATTCGATCGAATTTAAACACGCGGTTAAACGTATCAGCCTTGACGATTAATTTTCATCGGTGAAAATCTGATTTTCGATTGGCAAGTTAATCCGCGTGCACATCGGTGACTCTGATCCTGCAATATCCTACTGTATAATGTGACAATGTATAAACAACTGTTTCTTAAATACATCATTGGAATGGTTTATTTTTTTACGGGACCTGCATTCGAATACCCCATCCTTGACAACACATTAGTGTATGTATATCTCTGTAGCACCTGTTCAAATTGTTCCTTTACACGTAACAGTCGAGTTCGAGGTTCGCGTGCCTCCATTGCTAAGTACAGGGGACGCGGCACGTGTACAGTGCGAGGGAAAAGTATTTCGTACACCGTTCCCTGAAGTATTCCACTGATAATTAACTTTCTTAACACTTAGACCGCCTAAAAAGAATTATAATCTCCTTCATTATCTTCAATTGAACTCATTCAATTCGGTTAGAAACTATGTTTTGTAAAAACAAGAAGTATTTCATCAATTGCAAATAATCCCACTTCAAGACTTAGTAAATAAGGAAAGAAAAGATATACAGAATAAAATGCAATACGTTGCTAAGTGAAAAGTGGGAGATCTCCCCATTCGGTTGGCTAAGTGTTAACACGTTGAACGCCGCACGATTTCATAGAGCAAAGTACGCAAAATGGAGAAAATATAGTATCAAATCATTTCATTGAATTGCGTTATTGTTAGACATGTTCATCTAGCTGAATGTCACTGCATTGTGTAGTATTATTTATAATATAGAAATGTTTTCGAATAGTCAACGTTTAATTGAATGAACTGTAGTGATTCGATTTGGTTGGTCACCGGTGACCACGTTCGACGTGTTAAGGTAACGACCAAATATTAGCCTGTAATAAAAAAATTAAATTTTTGCAAGTTAAGCTAGTAAAGATAATTGTTTACTAGATACTATACAGAAAGTATTAAGAACTGCACAGGTAGCGATGCGCGAATACTTCTTTCTCGTACTGTACGTAGATGTACGTTAATGGACAAGCGCATAAGCGTTCCGTGTCGTAGTTACTACACCGACGAAGAACTATAGCCAATGTTAAATAAATGGAATATGCAACGTTAAATGCACTTTTCATTTAAGCGGCAATGAAAAGGAAGAGTTACCAGGAACGTTCCGCGTGATAATTGAGCTACAAACAAGGCACAAACCAAACAGGAAGGAAAAGAGCATTATCTTTCTGCTTTAAATCAATTTTCATCGCGTTAACACTAGAACTACCGTACCAGTCAAAATGACTGGTTTCGAATTTTTTGTTTAGCAGTTATTGATTGAAGCATTGAATATTCGCAATGATTTTGAAACTGAATAGTTTCATTTCAGTACTATAACGAATCCCTGAAGAAACTGAAAATAATTTACTGTTATTTTTATAGGAATTGCATATTAATCGTATCAAATGCTCGGTAGTTCTAGTTTTAACAAAATGTCGAGATAGTTATTAAATAAAACCATGAAACGAGAACGTTTCCATAATGATACGCTGTTTTGTAGCTCTTACATAAGCTATACATCAAATTTCTCATATATTTCGACGCAACGAGTTATTCCCCTAGCCCCTAGGGAATCGGTGATTTGCCAACAGCCTACGTACCGAAAAAGAACGATTCGATTTTCCGGCTGCGCAATTTTCACGCGGGACGATCCGAATTCGCCCGAGGCGAGCACGGAGGCCGCGTAAATTCGATGATTTCGAGCGGTAAAGCGATTCGCCGGCTCGGATCCGCTGGAATCGCGGCGAGATCTAGGGTGAAACGAGAAATTGTTGCGACGAACAGACACAGGGCCCTGGCGACGTATTAGCGACTTAGGATGCGCATATTGATTTCCAAGAACGCCAAGAAAAAGAGGTTGATGCTGATTCGGCGAGAACAAAAGACGACACCGATTCCACTTCTGCAGTCCACTTGAGCCACTTGCTATTATGTCCCGTGTAGGCTCCGAAGTTGGCAGAGCCGTATTGGCTTACCTGTGCGAAAAGAATCCGGGGACGCCCCCACGTATTTTTCTAATTTCACCCGGGAGGCGTGTCAATTACGGCGCGGCAATGCGACGTCCGCTGTACGCTTCCCGAAAAATTAACTTTGCACTCGGGAAGCAGTTCACGGTCGCCGTTCGATGTACACATCGCAGAAATTCGAGAATTCGATATGGATTTTAAGAATATTTTCCACGCAAATTCATATAAACGCAGTTTGAGAATAAACCGAATCGATAATTGCATCTGACGCAAATGAATTTTCGAAATCACTGAATTATCAGTGTATACGCAACGGGTACTTCGAATTAACAGGAATTTTTCGATGTACACATCTCAGAAATTAGAGAATTCGATAAGGATTTTAAGAATATTTTCCACGCAAATTCATATAAACGCAGTTTGAGAATAAACCGAATCGATAATTGCATCTGACGCAAATGAATTTTCGAAATCACTGAATTATCAGTGTACACGCAACGGGTACTTCGAATGAACAGGAATTTTTCGAGACTCTCATTATGCCGGGGACACCGTTTCTTCTCAATTAAACCGAGGCCGCGGAATTCGGGATCGGTGCAGGAATATTGGATTTCATTTAATAATAGAATGCGTGACCGACGCGTCGGCAGTTGGTCGGTTATTAAACAATTGCACACGCAGCGTTTCGATTGATTAAAAGAAGAACCGCGGACAACGGGAAATTGGGAAACCGAGGACATGTCGGGACGAATGCGATCGATTGTTCCGTGTTTCTATATATACATCTATATATATATATATATATATATATATACATATATATGTGTATGCATGTACATTTTTTTTATTTCGTTACGACCGACGTCGACGAGCATCGGGCGGAGATGTAATTCATGCAATTCGAGCAGGCGCCGTTGCAACGAACGGAAGCGGAAGTCGAGCGTAACTTAACGTCGTGCGTGCGTGGGTGCGTGAATCTATGCGGGTCCGTTTAACACTAGAACTACCGAACGGCTCGAAACAGCTCGTTCCAGTCCCGTTCTTTTTATTATCATTGAAAAGACACACCGCTGTTCCATCGTCGGGAGAATTAAGACACGCAATCGGTGAACTGCGACGATCGGGATGAACGTAAGTCTTTACCAAGCAACGCACGCGAAAATTAACATCCGACAAATCGGGAGTTTCCGTGAATCCTAGGGGTTGAAGTCGCGCCGGAGCCGCGCTAAAGGGTCGCGTGTCGACGTGTCGTTCCTCTCCCGGATTGGCCCGGCCCGTTACCCGCGGAATGAAACGCGTCCGCGCGTCACGTGCCCTATCGATTTCGAATTTAACACAGTTCCCCCGATGGAAAAGAGTATTAAACGAGTTAGAGCCGTAATTAGAGCCCGTAAGAACGAAAATACGACGCGGGCGGTCTCGCTTTTGAGCACCGCCGACGAGGCGGCCCGTGAAGATGTTAAATTAGATAAGCGGAGCATGGGTTTCGCGCAATTACAACTCATTCTGGCTCGCGGTGCACGGTAAACGAATAATTTCCAGCGAAATTCGATTAACTTCCGCGTGACCCTGACCATGTGGAGTTTGTTCGTGCAAAAGTGAATCTGTAGAAGGATACGTTGTTCTTTTTATAAACAATGCACGCTTCCCGACTGTTTCTGTCGCTCGACCCCTTGCAAATTTCCATGCTTGCAGTACTAAATCGCAAACGAATGATTTAGTTACTCGGACACCGAGAGATCGGCAGTTTCCATTTCTTCTATTGCTTAAGAAATCGATAGAAAATTTTTCTTCATCTTCTGAAGGTTCTGAAGAGTTAAAAGTCGCGACGATGTTTTTCGACTAATCTGTCTCTGTATACATGACGATTCGGCAGTCTCCGAAGCCATCGATTAGTTCGC